AAAGCAGGTGCATCAACCATTTGTTACAACTGTTTTCAGATTACAGGATCTGTTATTCAGAGTTGCTGTGCAGTTTAAGGCAAAACAATCTGGAAGGATTTCGATTTAAAGTCTTAGCCATTTCTGGGTGAATATAAAAAGTATATCTCTTTGATTTTGAGCTTTTTGTTCCATAACTTACATAATAATTCATAGCAAGCCCAAAGTGCTATGTCTGTGAGGGAAGAATCCGTCCCTAAATCTTCTGTGAACACCTAACCCCAGCGCTTCTATGTGGGCAAAACATATGATTCACTGTTATCTATGAAAACCTAAGGATGGTGGTAGGAGGATGGCTGTTTTTTGCACACCAAGGTAGGTGGAGAGTAGGACCAGACTGGAGTTCTTTCTTCCTTTCCCGGGGAGATGTCCTGTGGCTCAGGACAACACTCAATCACCATGAACACTGGGATGAGGGGAGGGAAAAACAGAGAAGGGGGAAACACTTCTCTTCTCCCACCTGATTCAGTGAAGCTGGATTACTGGTTTCCTGATAGGAATATTTCTCGCAGAGGAAAAGGAGAGAAAAGAGAAAATGTGTGAAAGTCCATTTTTTTCCCAGATGCCATGGGAATTTATGAGTTTTTTTTTTTGATCCAGATTGTAGACATGCTTCTACCTTCAGTGTATCTGTTTTGAAAAACATGCGAGGAAGAGAGTGTTCCTGAGCTCTGAGGAAAGAGTTTTGGTATGTCTGTTTGCCTGAAGGCAAGAAACTGAAACTGGATTTCACTTTGTCTAATGATCAAGACTGTAGGGTTTGCTTGACACTCAAGGCAGAAGAAATTAGGGATTTGGTCTGGAACATAGGCTAAAGAGATTGTGTTTTTTTCAACTTTTCCTTTCCTTGATTCTTTTGCAGAGAATCATGGATATGGGAAGAAAAGCTTATTTGTTCTAGGGGAGGAAATTGATCCTGGATTTGGCTGAGGTTGCTATTAAATTTTCATATGAAAATCAACCAAGATATCCAAATTTGGAGCTATTCTATATTACAAATCAGTCTATGTTCTCATCCATTAAGCAGCTTGCTACATGTTCAGGTTACTTTTTTCCATATTTGGTTGTTTCTCCAGAAATTAATGACTTCTATTAATTCGTCTTCTGTACATGTGTCAGCAATCATACAATTTCTCAGTATTTTTTTAATATCTTCTTTGGTATTTTTCTCAGTATTTTTCTTGTAAACTTAGGTCATGAAATTTGTTCTTTTGTATCACGATATTGTTGTAGAGTTTTTCTCTGCTTTGCATGAAGGTCTGGCCACAGATCAAGAGTCTTGGATCTAAATAAAAAAAGAAAAGAGAAAAAAAGCTAATGTCTCCCATAAAAAATCATTTACTTGACACATTCAATTTTCTAGATGCATGTAGGTGTTACCTACGTCTTAGGGAGCCAAACAGGCATGGAGTTCTTGATCCCCATGGCAGCAGTGCCTCAGAATGCGAACTTTACTTTTGGCTCTTTATCAATGATTTTATATATATACATACATATATATATACATACATATATATATATTTATATAAGCTAGCCAAAGTGGACGCTTTAAGCTTGCTAAAGCTTCAAAGATTTTAATTCTATTGAGACTTCAGTAGTGGCAGCACACAGAATTTTGCAGTTGTTATTGGTGCTAGAGAGACCACAGAAACACCATGTGAATCCTTGTGATTAATCTAGATGGGTCACTGCAACAAAACTCATCTGTAGTAGGCTTCACTGAGCTCTATGAATGTGCAGTTTTGTTGTCAGGGCTCTGAGCAGCTTGAAGCTCTGGTTCAAAAGTTCACTTTTTTTTTTTTCTTGGCTGGGAGGAATGTTAAAAGCTTTCCCTGGGGAAATGATATTACTAGGCCATGAGCTAAAAATACAGATTTATCGTGTTGTTAGGTTAAAAACAAACAGAGAAAATACATCTGTGCCAGATTTAAAGTGCAAGCCTCAAAACTATAAGGGATGTGAATTCAGAGGAGCACAGGACTCACTATTTCTCTCACTACATAGAAAGTAGGACAGCTGGATTGCAGATCTATAATGTCCCCATACATTGCAGTGGAGACCTGAACAATGAATGATGGTTCCAGATGTGGTAGCACCTAATGTCTACTTATGTATTGACAGAATATGCAAAGAGATTTTAGTTTGGCTCCCTGAATATCAGGCAACCCCGCCAGCTTTCTGCTGCTGTGAATGGTCACCTTGCTCCTTTTCATTCTGAACAGCTTCCAGAAAGGAAGAGAGGATATGCCAAGCCCATGGACAAACTCGGATTACTACCCTACATCAGGGTAAATCCATGAATGTAAATCCATGGCTGGATTTGCAAAATGGAAGTTGTAGGATACGTTACCAGCATATTATGAATTTATTTTTTCCCCTTTGGAGGGAAACACAAATATTCTTGAAAAGAGCAGAAACTTCCATTTCCTGCTGATAAGCCTGCCTCATTCATGCAGGCTCACAGAATGACATACTGTGGGACAGGTGTGTAAATGGATGACAGCTCTGGTGTGGCTGCCTTCCTCACTCCAGAATATGACTACCTGAAGCAGCGAGGGTTGATTCCTTGTGCAGTGAGAACTTCAAGCATCTGCTGAGTGAGAACATCTTTTCTTTCCTGCGACAGCAGTGCCAAGGGTCAGTTCAAGCTCTTTGCATATGAAGTGCTGCTGAGAACCACATGAAAGGTTTTTTTTTTTTTTTTTTTTTTTTTAAGATCCTGTCTTTTATATGAGGCACTTCACAATATCAGCTCAAGTGTCTTTCGTTTCCTGTTAAGATTAGTGAGCAACACACAATACGGAAGAAAGAGTGGAAGCAGCACCTTCTTGATTTAGGCTTTCATGTTAAAATGGAAATAAAATTAAAACGTCTATCTCCTTGCTGCATAAATGCATTAAACCACAATGATAATACTGTAGAGCTAAGTAGGAAAGCACTTCATGGTGATTTTATTAATGGAATATGGTACAGGTAGATCAGCTAGATTCATGAATAGTTTTATGAAAACACGTCAATTTTCTTATCTTCCTTGGAAAATTGTGTGAGAATTTTAACAGTATTTAGAAAATATTTTATGCAATGTATTCAAGTTAAGAATTGACAGGGTGATCAGTAGAAAAGCTGGATGTTGTAGTGTATTGTTGTGAATTAGGATTCATGGCCCTGAGGTAAAAGGTGTCTTTTGAATGAAGACTTTTTATGATCAGTGGCTTTCACATAGTGGCAAAGGAATGATGTCTGAGCAGGGCCTGGTTAATGAACATTTTTTATGGGATTATGGTGAAGGTACAAGAAGAAAATTATGAAAAAGGCGATAAGATGTGATTTCCAGCAAAACACAGAACAGAGAATTTAATCCAGCAGTTCCTGATATTTTGCATTGCTTTTGGTTAAGAGAAGCTTTCTTATTGGGAAGACATCAAACTTAAATTAAGATTTGTCACGATGTAGAATATTCCTCAATAATTTCTTCAGTATTCAAAGACCTTCATCACTTTAGAACTTGAAACATATACAATCTCAATGGCTGGCTGGGATTTGTCAGATCATGTAAATGTTTATCTTTGAGTTAGGCATTTAGAGTGCCTTTATAGCAGTGTTGAGAAAAAGACATTTTGGGGCATTCATCTCATCTTATCCTAAAATGGATATCTGAAATAGGGAGATGGATCATGTTCAAAAATTGCCTTTTTCTCCCTGGTGACTATAAGGGGAAGGGTTTGCTCAAGTTGAGATATCTTGTAGATAACTGTGTACATTGTTAGGACTCATTGGTAAAACTGCACGATCTTGCTGATATGGGACAAGCAATCCTTATTTCAGGAAGTGAAAGGCAACCTTTATATCCCATGCCAAGAGCCGAGAGCAACCGAAAACTAACAGTTAATCACTAGCAACTAACAGCTCCAAGACTGAGCTCAGGACCCCCATGCTTGTGCACAAGTAGCTAGCCAGTGTCCTCTAGAGGCTGGCCAAGCCAGACCCTTGTAGGTCTGCAGCACAGCAATTTGGTGTCAGTACGTCTAGTGTTGTCATTGATGTTGTGAAGATTAGTCATTATCTGGCTGCTACCGCCAATGTCCAGGACACTCTCACAATGCTGAGCCGGCACTTGGCTGCGCCAGGGCAGCAGACTGGGCACATTCCCACCTTGTGTCCTCAAGATCTACTGCAAGGTACTCCCGGACCTAGGCAAGTCCTACACATGCTCCCGAGTACCTAACTTCCAGGCTCGGTTTCAGAAAGTGTTTCAGCCATACAGTTCAAAAGGTAGATGGGACAAGCCTGGGCCCTGTTGTCTCTCTGGCCTTTGTGGTGTGATAGTAGGTACTTTTTGATGCCTCTACTCTGCTGCTGTGTTTATCGGTGGCTTCCATTAGCAATCACAACTTCAGCATGCACTGCGGAGGAAAGGTTATCCTCAGGTTGGAGTCTCCAAGCCAACGACACACACGCATACGAGAGTGCTCTGGCAAATGTTATAGCTTTAGCACCTGCACCTCTGTTTCACCTTGATATTCTTTCATCTTCTCTCACTCGTCCCTTTTCTAATTTCCCCCTCTCTTTCAGTTTCCTTCTCTCCTCCTCAAATCCTCTTCTTCCTCTCTTGAAATAGAGTCTCTTCGCCTCCATGTCATTACAGTCATTAGCAGAGCCTGAGCTGATGACAGAGTTCCCTGGCTTACTGCATTATAAAGAGCTCTTTGCATGAAAACAAGCGAACAAACTCCTTTTATCCTGGCTTCTTCTCAGCAGTGGGGGAAAGAACTGTGTTTTACTGCTGTGAGTCCTTTCTCACCTCCTGTAAAATGCTGTCAGCCTCTTATGCTGATATGCACAGATACCTTTCTCCCAGGCATGGATCACGGAAGGTAAAACTATGGGGAACGTAGGGGAAAGACAAGGAAACGGACAAGAATGACAGTTATGAGAGCAACAGACGAGGGTCACAAGAAAAAATGCATATTGTAGAAGTGGAGAAGTATGTCATTCTTGCCAAGTATGGCTTGAAAATGTGTGTGGACATCTGCGCCTTCGTTCCTCAGGAGTATGCGATGGGGCGCTTGGGGGCCAAGGAACATCCAGTCTTTAGGAGGACCTTGGTAGTCTTGTAAGAATCAAATTCTCCTGAGTTTCCTGTGTTCTCTCCTCAGCCAACGTTCAGTGCGGTGGGTATAGGACAATGGGGGCACTTGCAAACACACCCCACAGACTGATCCCACCCCAAATCTTACTTTGCCTTTGCAGGAATAAACATCTGCCTGTAAGAAATTTCTTCTCTGTGCAGTTAGCTATGCATCATCTTGAAATAGCCTCTGACCTTTTCTTTTAAAAGCTCAATCCATTTTTCTTATCAGGCTTCCTGTTAAGACAGATTTTTTTCAGAGATCAAGTTACTCTGCAGTCCTCTTCTGATTTCAGCATGTGAACAGTATCTAAAGAACAGTGCAATTAGGGATACATTTGGTTCAGATTTTCTGTTTGTGATCTGGGTGGGCGAATCCTTGTAACACTAGTAGTAGTTGTAACCTAATTAATATCAGCTGCAATATTCCTCTATTTGTTCATTCTTCCATAACAGATTTTGCACATATTTGCAAAAGCTGGTTAACACTCAGAGGATGAGATTAAACTAAATGTTTCTGAGGTCAGAATCTGAAGAGAATCTTATAATAACAAGTGAGGTATAATAACAACAAGTCACGTATAATGTAACAACAGGATTTTTCGGTTAAATAGCTTTGTGCTCAATATGATATGATTGAAAGGATTAACTAAAAACTCAGATTTTGTGATAACATTTTCTTTAGGCAGCCTAAGCCACAGCAAGGGCAATATCAAATATACAGATTAATTCAGACCCTCTGAATCTTCAGATTTAATAATAATAATAAAAAGATACATTACATTGCTTCTCTAAGAGCTTTTTCTCCATGCCAGGCCAGCAACCATCTACTCTCCTCACCTCTCCTGTTTGGATGGGAATTCTGTTTGGGCCCTGTCTGCAAGAACTTCAGATCTGCTGATGGCCATGCTGAGGGTAAAAAGCTCAGGGGGCTCAGGCAACCTCAGTGATCTGTGCAGGAAACTTGGGGAGAAAAAGGAGTGAAAAAAAGAAAGAAAACAAACAAACAAACAAAAACCCAAAGAACCCCCACAAAACTGAAACACTAGGAAAGTTTGTTTTCTTATGGATTACTGATTTGAACAGGCTCCTTGAGGCAGTGCCAGGTGCCAGAGCAGGTGGAGAGGAGGAAGCAGTAGTACCAAAAGCAGAGATCTGGGAAGCTGAGTCACCCCCTGGACAGCAGCAAGCTGTTAGACTGGCCCATCTTCTCTTCCATTTCTTCCTGTCTATTGATCTGCTGCCAGGGTGTTTTCCTCCATATTGTACCAGACTCTCTGATGCCTTCTCGATTTGCCTTCCAGCCCCTTGCTCCACGTCCACCCATGTTCTCTTTCCTTCCTCTCCTTCCCTTCCTTTGACCCACACATGCTGACCCCAAATCCTTCTGCCTTCAGCTGTGGGCAGTCTAGGTACTACTATTCTCTTAGTTACTTCAGGCTTCTGCCTGCTCATGTTTTTGAGTTTCAATATTCACGATGGCAGGAGACTCAGTACTTGTCCTGGTGTTGTGCCATGCTGTTGTCCCTGCCACGGGATGTTTGTGTCGCTGACGTGCCCTGTGCTCTCCTCAGCACAACCCCTACACTTGTGATGAAGGGTGTCACTTCTGCGATTTCAGCTGGAGACTGCTGGATCAGCTATCTCAATGCAAAGGTTGCAGTGACCTGTCAGTCAACTCATGGTGGCCAAAATGCCAAGGGAGAAGGCCTCCTAAGCTATTGATGTGAGTTCAAAATAAATAAGCAATAATGACTTCAGTTATGTTACCCCACATTAATTTTACAAAAAGGGTCAGCCAATGCATCAGCAAACAAATAGAAACTAAATTTGAAATGACACTGTCCTTTTAAATGTATGTATCCGTACGTCTTTTGCCTGTCTATCTCATCTACATGTGCGATTTCATTTTGTATATGCAGAAAAGCTAGAAAAGTGTCATGCTGCCAGATCCTTTCTTTGCAGAATGCCTGCTGAAATGCAGTAATCTCCTGGGAAGATCAAAAGCTGCTCAGTGGCCATAAAAATACACGATAGAAAGTGCAGCATAGGTCCCCAGTTGTCAGTAGTCCTGACTTGCCCACTTACTGCTCCCTGCCCTTCAATAAGCTACCTAACCTCTCTTCATCACAGATTCTCATAATAAACTGAGGTAATAGCCTTTAGCCTCAGGCTAAGTAGTTTGATGATTCAAAGATGAAAAATATATAAAATGAGGCCATATTGCTTTTACTACCGAGGATTACAAAACATTTTGCACATTACAGAACAGTCAGCACCAAAAGCTTTAAATTTATAATGGCTCCATTTAAAAGCTTAAATACATAATACTTGCAGAATGCATGACCTATCACCGCAGTCACTGACATTTGGGGAAGTTCCTCCTTCCTTTAATATATGGTTTGGAACTTTGCTTTCTCCATCTGGAAAATCTCCTAATTAGAGAGTTGTTTTCCCTTTAGCAATCCCTGCAGCATTACAAAATCAGGGACCAAATATTCAGACTATGTTCAAGATGCAAGAACGTGTCAGAAGAAGAGGAGGTTATGGCACAGTGCCACCAGTAAGAGAACAGTACATCAGTTACAAAGCAAGCAAAACAAGCAAAAAGCATGCCAACTTAGGAGAATTTCCTTGCTGAGTCTTCGGTTGTGTGACCGTACATTAGAAAGTGTCCAGACAACCACTCCTAAGCTTGGCATGTGCCTCTTAAAGGATTCTTCAAAAGTTCTTTCCTACCTAATAATTAGAAAAAAAATCATGGTAAAAAGATGGCATGTAGGCAGCACTCCTTTCCTACCTGCTAAATGGAAAGATGCCTGTTCTTGTTGGATCAGTGCCCTTAGTCCAGCACTAAGGAAAACGTTGCACAATTTCTCTCAGTTTATGAAACACATCTGTTCAAAAGCCAGTTCCAGTTGTTTGAGACTGTCCCCTCCCACTTTTTTTTTTCCATTAAAAATGTGTGAGTTAGTTAGGAAAAAAAAATATTGGGTACAAAAGGTTACCTTTCTGTGACCTATATATTTTTCTCAGCTTCCATATGTCTGCTTTAATCTGATAAAGATTGCAAAGATTTAGTAACAACTTCCTAACAAAAGAACTATTTACATGGGAGTACACCAAAGAGATTTTTGTTTTATTTGCCATTGAGACCATGCTGTTCTCTATAAAAAAATCTAAACAAGGGCAGAAACGCCACCACACAAGGAGGTGAAAAGTACTCGTTGAAAATAGAGCACCTTAAATAAATAGTTTGTTTTCAGCACACAGATTGTCTGGTTGTCCTGTGCCAAGTACTTGCAAATAGTAAATTATTAGGACTTCACAGGAGTCTTACCACACACAAAACTCAGTATACTTTCAAGGTTTTATTTTCTATTATTATCATTAATGAAATCACTAACTCAATGTTCTGTTAGTGGCAGAAGAATGAAAGCTCTCAGAATAAGGCTGATGAGTAGATGATACATGCAGCTTTCTAGTCTAGTGAGGAACAGTTTCACTTAATCTCTTTATGAATCTGACCTCTTTCTAAACTTGCTGTAGACTCCTTACGGCTTGGTGAAAGCGTAACACTCGGTGCCCTGTTAGTCATGCTATTCCTTGGAGTTCTGCAAATCAGGCTGTGGCATTGCCTGACAGTGTCCCGTGTGCCCGGACACTCTTCCCAGGGAGCTGCTGGCATTTGTGAGCACTTTGACTTGTGTTGCCACCTGTGCTTTTCGACTTGCTCGCTTCTGCCGGGTTGTGTGCTCCATCGCTGCTTGCATCTGTGCCCTTTTCCTTCATATGGTCTTCACTCCAGATCAGCATTTCTCTAGCTGTGGTCACAACTGGTAGGGAGTCAGAAAAAGATTCAGAGGAGAAATGTCAAAGATTCAAAGGAGATCGCAAAATATTGGAAGATGAAGGGTTAGTTGGCAGCAGCTTGGTACTTCCTTGGGTGAGGAAATGAATGCTTATATTTGCAACCAGTAATGACAGCCTGTTCTTCCTTTCCCAGCCTGGAAGAGAGGAGCTTCTGCCAACTCCAGGGGAGCAAAGGGACAAAAGGAGGTGCATGGGAAAGCATCTGAGCCAGGAGATGATGAACAAAAAAGTGGGGGGTAATGTCATACTTGCAGAAAAGTTGAGAAAAACTACTTGAAGTTAAAATGTTTTCTGTATCTGGAGCTACTGATGCCCTTCTCTGCTCATCCTTCCAAAATGGGGGAAACTCACAAATGGGAAACAATCTTACTAAGAAATTGTTTTCTATCTAGCCCCTGATTTCCTTGATGTACCTTGGTGTCGCTCTGCTTGATAAAATATAAGCTCTGAATGGCAAGGTCCAGAGGGTCTAATCAAATAGCACTCATAAATCTCATAAATAGCACTAATAAAACAGATCTGGAAAATAGATCAATAAAGTAGAAGTCATCTCAGTGCTCTTGAACTATAGGTTTATGACCTTCTGATTTTGAAGCAGAGCAGTCTTGCCATGTTCACCAGGGTTCGCCCCTTTTTGGGGAGCTCTATAAGTGCAGTAACACAGCAGTATCAGTCTCCCCCTCCTTATATGGACCCATACAACCCTCTCATGGAAAGATGGAAGAAACAGTGTCTAGTGCACTGTCCCTGTTGTTACCTACAGCAGCATTTCCAGAGCTTCTTCCAGCCCTGTTAAGGACCATCTTTCAAGACAGAAGAAGAAATCCTAAAATACAAATCATTTTCTTATTAACCTTATTATTGCGTTCTTTTATCTTCAAATGCGCTTGTTCTGTTCACTTAGACTTTGTTCTTAATAACGGTGTAAGTCATTGGGGTATCTTACAGAAACACAGAACAGGACAAGAACCTTAAACCACAATATTGCCAAACCAAATGTATGTATGTATTCATGTATGTGCATTTAACTTACATTTACACTTCTCATCTACCCTTTCTTTTGATTAGTTGACTGTAGTAAGATCATACTACATCTTTCTTCCTCTTCTGAG